ATCTAGAGGTCAGAAGTCCAAAACATGTCTCCAAGAGTTGGAGCCAGGGTCCAGCAAGACCATGATGTTACCTTGAGGGGCTCACAGGGAAGTCTTGGACCTTTCTTTTCCTAGCTTGTGGAGGCTGAACACTTTCAAACTTGGTCCTGTGTCCCCTTCAAGGCCATGGGCGTAACATTTTCAAGTCTGTCTCTGACTCCCACCTAGTCCCATGTCTCCCTCTTCCGCTTAGAAAGACCCTGTGATCGCATGAGGTCCTGTGGATAATCCATGACAGCCTTAATATGACAAATCTTAATATCAGCTGGTCAGCAGCACTAATCCCATCTGCTACTTTTAATTCCTCGGTGTCTTGTAACACAGCATGTTCACAGAGTCTGAGGATTAGGACATTGGGGGAAAGCCATTATTCTACTACCATACCCTGGAAACCAGATAAGATATTACATGTCAGCTGTGTTACCAGGCAACCTACTTACAGTAGAAATGGGTCCTGGTTGGTAAATAACATTCGGCCCCGGAGCAGCTGGGAATGAACCTCAAACACTTTGGACTTCTCTTTCCTGTGTTTGTTTGGCATCTGGGTGAGACTAGCTATTTTTGGATTGGGAGATACCCCAATGTAAATTGAATGACTGAAACCCAAGCTATAAAATATATCAGAGTCATATATATCTCTGTCATAGCATTTAGTTTGCACAGTGGTTCCTGCTGGAGTAGCTGAGAAACCACATCCTGTAAGGAGGTTGGGGGGACAGGTTGCCTGGGTGGGGTGACACCTATTTCCCTGTTGTTTCCTTCAGGGGTGAGGATATTCAGGTGACTCTCGGGATGACTGAGGAAGAGTAACTTTAGGCACGTGACCCTAAAATACCCCCTTTAGATGTCCTTGAGAACAGATAAAGCTAATGCTCCAGGAGTGGAGAGGAACTCAAGGTCTCCCCCCGCCCCAGCTGAGAGGCTTTGACAGTTGCTGGCCTCTGGGGCAGGGAGAGTCAGATTTCTTTAAGGATGTGGTCCCTGGTAGGTCGACCACACTCGGATAGATGGTCCAATGCCCAGGATGATATGGGCGACATAAACTGGACTTGGTGCGCTATTAAAAAAAAAAGAGAGGCATGAAGTTGGGAGGAAGTGAGTGTTGGGAGGTGGATCTGCGAGGAATTGAGGGAGGACTGGAGGTGAAGAGCATCAGAGTGCATTGTATACACGTATGAAATTAAAAAGTAAGCGCATTTTCAAAAGCAATGTGGAAATTAAACAAATATGGTAAGAGATAATTCTGTTCAAACTAGTTGATAGATAGAAGGTTATTTGGTTTCCTGTTCTTTTTACTTTGCTACTTTTGAAACACATCATGCTAAAGAGTAAGAAAATAAATCCTTAGGTGTTGAAAACTGCTCATTCTGTCCTCCCCCCCCCCCCCTCATTGAGACGAGGCATTACTAAGTAGCCAGCTAGCCTCAAACTCCCATCCTCCTGCCCCGCAGCCTCCCCAGTGTGTTCCCCCACTCTGGGCTGCTGGCGGCTCTACCCTTCCCCTCTGCAATAGCTACAATCTCAGGTGACTTCGTGGCTCACTCACTTCCTTTTCAGTCATGTGTCACAGGTAGTGCGACATCCCTCATTGGCTACTCTAAGATACTTACTCAATGTGTGACATCCTTGTGGCTCTCAAATCCAGTTTGTCCAAAAGCTGTGTTGGAAGAACCTTCAGTGCAGACACTCCTCTGCTTGGGATGGGCCGGGTGCTAACTGTGGCTAAGAGGAAAATGTGCTTAGCATCCACCCCTAAGACGTTGCTCAGCGGCGTGGCACAGAACGTTACTGCCTGTGACCCTTCGGTGTGCCTGTGCTCACTGCTGCTGCCCCTGCTGAGGTGGTTTGTCTGGGCATCTTACCTAGGGTCTTGAACATGCCAGACAAGGACTGTCCCTCTGAGCTACACCCCCAGCCCACATTCATGTCTTATTGTTTATCACTGGCTAGATAAAGGGTTTCAATTCAGAAGTCATTTGTATAGTAGTGTTTCAGACTATAGGAATCCAGGACTCAGTACGTGAGATCTCTGGATGCAGAGAAAACCTTTGCCCCACATCTGTCCACAAGGACTTCCTGTGACTGGTCTGCTACAAAACCTCATGGGGAAGGTGGCCTTTTCCTTATGTGGCTGCTTGGAGCTCCTTACCATAGAATTCAACGGGAGTTTGAGTCTGTGCAGGCAGAAGCATCTTCTTTTCTGTCATGTCAGTCCCGTGGTGAGGAGCCAGGCTGACAGAAAGGCTAAACCTGTGAGAAACCTCAGCAAGGCAGCTCCTTCCTTCCAGTCATCCCCATTGTTTCCCGGGGCCTGTGGTTCTCAGGCTGTCAGCACCCCGTCACCTGGAAAGATTGTTAAGCTGCTTCCTACTCCGAGATTACCTAACCTGTTCAATAGGTCAGAGCTGAGTATGGGAATTTGCGTTTTTAATTAAGTAAAGATGTGTTTTGGTTCACGGTTTTGGAGCTTTCAGCCCAGTGGTCAGGAAAGCACGGCAAAGCAACTGGATTCATGGCTGTGAGAACATGGCAGACACTGTGCACACGGTGGACCAGAATGCTGAGCATCTATCTGCTTTGGCGCCATACCTCAAGAGTTGCTGTTACTGGCCCGGGGAATGGCTACTATGCATTTGTTCTACCCAGGCACTAGAGACACAGAAAACAATCAAACAAGGCCTCTGGGGCTGGTGAGATGGCTCAGCGGTTAAGATCACTAGATGCTTGTCCAAAGGACCCAGGTTCCATTCCCAACATCCACATATAATCTCACAACTATCTGGAACTCCAGTTCCAGGTGGATCTGATATCCTCTTCCGGCCTCCATGGGCACCAGGCAGCCTTGACTTTGGCTGCTCCTGTGCACTGATGGCCAAGTGGTGATATCCAGTGATCTCACAAGACAGGACAGCACCTTGTTTAGAAATCAACATGTTTCCTCCCCTTGAGGCTGGATAGGCAGCTTTTGAAAACATTGTAGCAAAATGTAACGCCATTGAAAAGCCAGAGATAAAAGGGGGCCAAATCCATTCACTACCAAACACTTGTCACACAAACATTTAAGAAACGGTGATGATGAGGGTTGGAGAGCCACCTCAGCGGTTAAGAGGCTGAAGAGCACTCCTTGCTGTTGTAGATGGCCTGAGCTTGGTTCCCAGCACCTACGGAGCAGCTCAAAACCATTTGTAACTCCAGTTCCAAGGGACCCCACACCCTCTTCTGGTCTTCTCCAAGTCCTGCACACACAAAGTGCACATAAACTCATGCAGACATACCCATATACACATAAACATAATAAGAATACTTAAAAGGGAATGGGAGGACACAAGGACAGTGGTCTTTTTTAATTTCTAATTTTATCTTTTATTTCCAGGAGCTCACATTATGGGTTTTAATTATTTTTATTGAGCAATACATTTTTCTCCACTCCCCTCCTTCCTCCCCCTCCCCTTTACCCTCTCCCGTGTCCTAGCGCTAATTTACCCAGGAGATCTTGAAGGACAGTGTCTCAAAGCCTCCCTGGGACCTGGGCACACCAATGGGATGGTGGGTGAAACACTTTCCACTGTTGGACGGAAGGTGGGGTGCAAATGCCAAGTGAACGGGCAGCGATTATTCTAGATGCTTTTCTGAAGGATCGCTGTCTCTCAAAGGGTGGCCAGAATCCATCTAAATAACTGGAAAGGTGCCCCAAAAGCCCATGGTGCTGTGACAGTGATGTCCCCAAGGGCAATGACATCTGCACTATCTCAGTGTCTTCTGGGAAGTGCCTTCGCCTCAGACTCACTCAACCACCGTCTCTGTACCACACTGTCACAGCGTCTGTGTTGAAGAGAAAGCTAATCTTTTTTGTTGGTATGCGTTACATGGAGACACCCACAGCATATGTAGGGTTCAGCGTGGTCTATGGCTTTAGGTATCCGCTGTGCACATGTGTCCATGTGCGCGCACACCCGTTCCCCTCAGTCTTGTTTTTGTCTGTTTTGTTTTCACACAGGCTCCCCGCCCCCACTCTCTCTCTTGATGATCTGTTACGTGCAATCCTCAGCCTCTCAACATGCAATCCTTCTGCCTCAGCCTCTCAAGTACTGAGATAACAGTCATGTTATCTCAAGACTAGTCATGAGCATGACTAGCTCACATTTAAAAAAAAAAAGATTTTCCTTTCTTTACGTGTATGAGTGTTTGCCTGCACATATTAATGTGCACCGTGTGCATGCCTGGTGCCTGCAGAGGCCAGAAGAGGACACCAGATCCCCTGGGACTGGACTTACGGAATGTTGTGAGCAGTTGCGGGTGCTGGGAACCAAATCCAAGTCCTCTGCCACAGCAGCCAGTGCTCTCGACCTCTGGATTTCACATCTCTTTAGAAAAGAAAATGAAATATGTGGAGAAGCCACAATAAGATCTGTTTATCTCGCCCGGTGGTGGTGGTGCACGCCTTTAATCCCAGCACTTGGGAGGCAGAGGCAGAGGCAGAGGCAGGCGGATCTCTGTGAGTTCGAAGGCAGCCTGGTCTACAAAAGCTAGTTCCAGGACAAGCTCCAAAGCTAAAACCCTGTCTCGAAAAACCAGAAATAAATAAATAAATAAATAAATAAATAAACAAATAAATAAATGATCTATTTAGCTCTACAATTAATAGCTGTCAGTTGTTATCATTTCAAAATAGAAAATTCCCACAAGTTCTTTTCTCTTAGCATACTAGATTGGCAAGAGAAAGGGGCAGGGCAGCTGGGCACATGGGTTGTCTGGCAAGGCTCAGGGTGGACGCGCCTTTAGTTGTGTCCCAGTGTGTTCTATGTCCTCCTGAGTTCCTCTTCACCCTTCAGCTCACTGTCATCCCCCAGGGCTGGTATGAGAGTAGCTGGGATAACAGGCACAGCCACTGAGCTTGGGCAGGACAACTGAGGGAGCCCATGAAGACCCTGGGGACAACGTACATCTGTTTGTGTTTTCAGGGGAGCCTCACGGCAGGACCCTGAATCGGCCTCTCTTCTGACAGCCGACTGCTACTGCCACCAGTGTCCCCTACCTGGACCTGTCCCTGTCCCTGTACCACTCAGCAGGTAAGAATGGTTCTCTACAGAACAGAAAGATGACGCTCAGGGAGCAGGGTCCCCATGGCAGCAGACGCACCTCACGCCATCGCTGTCAGTCTTAGACCTCCTCTTCCCCTGGGGACACTGTTAGCTGAGGCAGATGGAGGTGTGATGACCCCACCCACCTTGTCCTGAGTCAGGTTATAGCCACAGCCCTGGGATGAAACGGCCTCATCCTGGCAGCAGGTTGGCACTTGCTGAGTTGGGAGCCAACGGTGCAGCCTGCCGAGGTCCCTAGATGACATGTCAATATAAATGTGCCTGGGTGCCCAGGGAAACGGACCTCAAGACCCCAGGATGGCCCTGAACAATTGGCTCATTTTTTCCTTGTGCCTTACCTTCTTGGAGGCCAAACACCCAGTCAGGGTCCCCTGGAGGCACATGGATGTCTGACTTTGTCACCACCCTGTAGTGGGATCCTGTCCTCTCAGTGTGTTTGCCATGACTTCCTTCATCAGCTGGGATGACGCACAGTGCCCTCAATAGGAGAAGGGGGAGGGGGGCTCCTCAGACTGCATCCAAGCCCGAGCCACTCCCTCCCAAGGCTGAAAGCAATTCTGCCCAGCTGTCTGTGGTCTCCGAGGAGCCAGAGCAGATAGGAGTGGAAGGTGAGCTGAAGAGGAACTCCATCTGCCTCCGTGTTGGGATGGATTTCTCAGTGATGCAGCTGCTTTGAGGTCACCAGTGATCTAGAAAGCAACCCCTTGCTTGTGCTTTGTAAACAAGTCCAATAAACTATTTGGTTCGCCAAGCTGGACTGTAGTGGGAGAGGAAACACACTCCCCGGGAAAAGCTTATGTCCCACCCCATCCCCTTTGTCTCTGTTCCATTTCTTCATGAATACTAACTTGGGTCTTATAGAAGCAGCTAGTGGGCTCAGAAAAGTAGAGGTGTCAGTCAAGTGGAGTCTAAAAGATGAGTCAGGGACAGCTCCAAAACCTCCCTCTTGGCCTGCCTTTCCAAGTTCTTCTGTCTCTAGTTCCGGTTGCCTAAAGCCGCTTCCTTCCTCACTTCCAACCATCCCAAGAGGCTTTCCCACCACTGTGTCAGCCCCTCCCTGCCCTCTCCCAGGCTAGGCAAGGAACCCCCCTGCCAAGGCTGACTAGGCTGGCTAAGAGGTCCCTGAAACTCGAACTGCTCGTTACGTGTGGCTCTCCTTTTTGCTGGGAGATTTCCAAGCGAGATATGAACCCACACCTTCTGAACTCTGCTCTGAGCAGCTGGCCTAGCCAATACCAAGAAAGCCTTGTCTAAAAAAATGTCCTGCGTAGTGCTGAGGGCCCAGGGGTAATGGGCTCTCAGCGATCCCAGCCTTGGCCTCTGCCTCAGTCAGAGCCTAGGGAGCCATGTCCTTTACACTTGTGTTTACCTGACTTCAGCCACGTACTATGATCCTTAGTCTCCCTCAGGCAGTTTCTCCTTGCATGGGTGACCAAGAATCCTCCTCAGGGGACTGTAATGTCTTGTCTTGGCCCTGTGGTCTAATGTGTGTCAGGACCGGGAGAATTTCTTCTTCTTTCTCAAAGAACAAATCTGGCTGAGAAGGGGTCGAGGGATCTGCAGATGGTGAGACCAGGAAGAGAGGGAAGGGGCCGCCTTTCTCTGGGCCCATAGCACTCCAACCCTCTCCCCATGGTCACTTGCAGGAGCCCAGCATGAAGGAAGGCATGTCTAACAACAGACCGCCAGCATCTCCCAGGCCAGGAAAGCCGTTGGAGCAGCTGAAGATGGAGGCCGGCATGGACAGGGTGAAGGTAAACTCACCCAGCACGTTTCTTAGGCTCGGTCCCCCAACAGGGCAACAGTCTCAGTGGGGGGAAGAGGGTGTTTGTTCCAGAGCTCTGAGCCTGCCAAGATGCAGTCCACGGTGTGTGTGTGTGTGTCCAGAAGGAAGGGCCAAAACTCGACTGTATTTCCAGCCAGTATTGCCATACAGTGAGGGTGGAAGAGAGGGGCGGACTGTGAGGTTGATCATGTCGTGTCTCCCCGGTGCTGTGACAGGGGATAGCCGGCAGCAGGACTTTGGACAGGCACAGCTAGGGCTGAATCACTGAATCAAACATGTGTGTATTAAATATTCCCTGGGGAGGTGAAGGGAAGTCCTGCCACCTCTCGCCATGGGTCTTTTTTCCACTGGTGCACATAGAGGTGACGGTTGTGGCTCTGAACTGCAGCCAGCTCAGGACTGAGATAAGGTTAGGATGCCCCTCCCCAGGAGTCCACCAAACCCAAGTGGCTTGCTCAAGCATCTGGTGTATGAGTTTCTGTTCTCCTGGTGTGACAGCATACCTGAGGAAAGAAAATCAAGGGTTTGCTTTTTTTTTTTCCCCTAGCTCATGGCTCGAGGGCACATCTCAAAGGGAAGATATGCGGTGAGAGTGGCTGCAGCTGGGGTGGGGGATGAAGGAGTCGGTCATAGAGCATCCAGTTGGGAAGGAGAGGGCTAAGTGCTCATGCTCAGCCTATTTCCTCCTCTTTACCTGGCCCAGGATCCCAGCCTGTGGGCTAGTACAGCAGATCTCCTCAGTTAAACCTCCCTGGAAACGCCCCACGGCCACACTCTGGTGTGTCTCCCAGATGATCCCAAACCCAGTCTCAATGACATCAGCTGTCGTCACTTGGGGATACAAATTTCCTAAAATCTTCAAGGCTTGCCTTCCCTGAAGCATTTATCTGAGTGTTCTTTATCAATAAAAACCAGGAGTCAGATATCAGTCTTATATCAGGGTAAGAACAGGAATGACCAGGGAAGGACCGAGAAACCATCAGCAATCTTCTCTCTCTCTCTCTCTCTCTCTCTCTCTCTCTCTCTCTCTCCTTGGTCCAAAAAGAATCTCCCTAATCTCCCTAAACCTTACTTTACTCTGCCCTGTCTCTCTATCTGTCCTTGGTCCTCCAGAACCTATGTCTAATTTTGGTCAGTTAGTAGCTAGCTCAGCCCTCTGATTCAAAGCAATTATTTTTTCTTTTGATTTTTTTTTTTTTGAGACAGGGTTTCTCTATGTAACAGTCTTGACTGTACTGAAACTCTCTTTGTAGACCAGGCTGGCCTTGAACTCACTGAGGTTAGCAGGCCTCTAGTGCTGGGATTAAAGGCGTGCGCCACCACCGCCCAGTTAAAAGCGCGTCATCGGTCTTGGGAGTGTTAGTGAGACCGACTATCCCACAACACTTCCCGCTCTAGAGCATGGCTCCGCAGCCCAGGCTCCCCTTTGCAAGCAGAGAGACTCTTTCCCCTGCAGCTCACGGCGTGAGTTATCCCAGGGGACTGCACAGAACTGGACGTACGTGAGATGCAGATGGGACAAGGAGAGGGTGGGCCTGTGCACGTTGGTATAAACGGACCTGTCATTTGGGCACCAGCATCCCACATGTGCCGACACCAGCTGTGCTATCATTTGGGTCTCAGGTCCCGCAAAGGCCCCATGTTAAAGGTCTGTACTGCTACTGTGTGACGTTAGAAGTTTTAGGAGGTTTAAAGAGGCCTGCTGGGAGATTTCAGGCCACAGGGGGTTGCAGAACTTTGGCCTAGGCTTTTTTAAAATTTTATTATTTTATTTGTGTGGGTGCTGTGTGTGTATATGTGTGTATGTGTATGACGTGTGTGGGTAGCATGCCACAGCACGTGTGTGTGTGTGTGTGTGTGTGTGTGTGTGTGTGTGTGTGGTGTGTGTGAAGTCAGAGGACAACTCTGCAGTCACTTCTCTCCTACCTTTTACATGGATTCTGAGGCTCTAACCCAGGACGAGGCTTTCACGGGCCATTGGTCTCTTCTCTTTGTGGTTGGTTTACTTTAATTCTTTCAGACATGGTTTCACTGTGTAGCCTACACTGGCTTTGAATTCATTCTATAGCTCAGGTTGACCTTGAACTCACTCGTGCTTCGTCTCTTCTCTCCTGGGCCATGGCCACGAGGTGAAGGGCTCTGCTCTGCCAGGTGCTGCCACCATGATGTGCTGTACCCCCAAATTGTGAGTTGTTTGTCTCAGGTATTTGTCATAGTAGCAGAAGCTGCCAACCATAAGCAACCAATCAAATGTCAGCCCTTGGAATGCAGGCCAGAGAAGGGGGTGAGGTTAGCACCCAGGGAACAATTGGAAGCTGGGGTTCCAGAAATTGAATAGGACATCAGAGGCATCCTGCAGACAAGCGGTGCCCAGCTTTGCAAAGACAGGAACGCCTGCCAGGGGAGGACACTGTGAGGACATAGCTGAGCAAGGCTCTGCACAGCGGGGCTGCGGCTTCAGCGTGAGCAAATGTCTCTACTAGAGTGAGGAGAGACATGAGCAGGGATTTGGAAAAGCCACCTGCCAAGCTGCTGGAGAAAGGGTGCTGTGGGTACAAGCACAAGATCACAGAGCCGCAATGAATGGCAGGTGTTTGCAGTGAATGGCCTGTGCCTCACATCTGGACGGACTGGAAGGCAGCTGCAGCCGTGACTGGGCAGAGGTCTGTGGCTGTGGGAGAGGTGAACACATCAGGAAAGCAAACAGTATGGGAAGGAAGTGTGGAACACCAGGCCAAGAGAGGCAAGAAGCCAGTCGTGCACCAAGCCAAGCACCAAGCCAGGGCTTGGGGACAGTGAGCACAGGTTAGGGCCATATATGATTGCCAGACCAGGGAAAGACAGGTTCTGTGACAACAGATCATTTCCAGCCGCAGACAGAGTCCCAGAGACTTGTGTGTTCCCATAGATGGCGAGTTCTTGGAGTCTTTGAGCACACTACAGACTCTAACGGGAGGAGAGTCACAGGTCATGCTGGAGGCATTGGGAAGGCAGTGTTGTGTTGTTGCAGGGCCCTGAGGAGGAAGTAGCTAATTCTAGCTCTGGTGACGTCAGCACATGGAGTGGGCAAGAAACGAGCCTGTGTGGTTCAGAAGCAGAGTGCAGAGTTCTCGGGGAAAAAAATAGTCCTGTGTTGTCTGAGGAGAGAGGCGCCCAAATATGAAGTCCCGTGTAGCCCAGGCTGGCCTCAAGTTGGGTATGTAAAGAAGGATGAGTTCAATCACGTGATGCTCTTGCCACTATCTCCCAAATGCGAGGGTGATAGGCATGTATCATCTTACACAGGTTAGTTGTGCTAAAATACACAGAATGCTCAATTTCCCATTAAACCATTTTTAGATAAATTATCATTTTCAGGATCAGGAATATTTGTAGTATCCTAAGATACCACCACCCTCCATCTCTAAGAACTTCATCTCCACCTAGAAACACCGTCCTGCTGTCTCTGGGACTGTAGCTGTAGTAGGAACCTTGTCTAAGTGGAAACCCAGACTGGCTATCGTGCTGTGTGTAGTTGATTCACTTAGCACATCATCCTCGGAGTTCACCTGTGTTGTACAGTGCGCCAGAACTTCATTCTTTTTAATGTCTGAATAATGTTCCATGATGTATATCCAATATACAGACACATGCAGAAACACACACAGAGAAAAAGGCAAACACACACACAGTGTCTGACCCAATAGCAAATTTCTTTATGAAAAGGCACACATGTCTGCTCACTGAATATTTCTGCAGTCTGCCTCTTACTCCTTGCTATCCTCAGGCCAGGCCACATCATCTCCGGGTCAGCCAGAGGCTATCATGGGTAGCCTGCCGCTGGCCCCATGCTCAGGTCTGTATGCCTCTTGCTCTCTCGGTGGCTTGAGAAGCCCAGCAAGTTGAGTTTAAGATGAATATGGCAGAGTGACTGGCTTTCAGTACATAGGATTAAGAATTATTTCTGGAACTGATTTTGTGAATCAAGCTTATAATTCTCTCTAATAAGTCAAGAAGAAGTCAAACTCTTAATGAAATCAGTGTCTTACAGCGATACATTAAAAGTCATATTTTTGGAACTACCCTGTTATGGCTATGATTTCAGACTCCATGGGTTAAGGGCTCAGGCCAACAAGGCTATTTCCCTTGTGGATATAAGTTACAAGCTCCAGGTGCCCTGTCTACCTGCATTCTGTCAGGCTTGCCTGCAAAGTCAAGGGTTCCTGAGGACACCCTTCCCCAGGCTCTGTCACTCATAAAATTATCTATGGACTCAGGAAATGTCTTTCTTATATATACCAGTTTATTATTAAAATGATAATTCAGGAACCTTCTGACGAGATGCCCAGGTCGAGGAGTTGTGGGTCATGGTGCTCAGCTTCCAGGACTTCAATAAGAGTGACACCTCTTGCTCATAAATGTGTTGCCTGCCTCCAGGGTCTCCAAGTTCAGCATGTTATAGTGGTTTCATTATATAGCCACGGTTGTTAATGCATTGGCCTCTCAGACTCCAGCCCTTCCTCCATCCCTCGAAGTCAGAGGCAGGGCTTGGAACTCTACCTCCAGTCATAGCTGTTGTTCTGGTGACATGCCCCCTTCCTGAAGCTGTGCAGGCAGCATCTCCAGCCACCAGCCCCCTCATTAGCATACCATGGAGGCGCTTCTCACTCAAGGGAATCCTAGAGTTTAGGAACTGTGCCAGGGACAGGGAACAACAGCCCCATGCTCAATCTTTGTCAACGGCTGACTGCTCTTGTGACCTAAAACTCTGCAGTGTGAAGTACCAGTTCCTCAGCATTGCATGCCTGGCCACTGTTCCCCTAACCCATCATTACATTTAGGAATTACCAGTTCTCCGAGTCCTCCCTCCCAGGTGTCTGGGCACCTGTCTTCATCAGCAGCCTCTGGGATGCCACCTGAAGAACGTGCTCCCTACCCAGAGGACACCTGTTGCCTTTGTGTTCAGAAGGTTCAGCATGCCATCTGTCT